AAGAAAGATGATCCTTGCCACGACCCTAAGGGTTTACTTGCTCAAAGCCTTTTTTCATCACTGATCTTAGGAAGCGGCCATATGCAGCTGAGAGTTTAGATATTTCTGAATGGGTCTGGCGCCATACTTGACATCCATATTAAAGTCTTGATCTGATGAAGCTATCTAAAAACATGACTTGAGTTTTCAGGTTGATGTTTTGGTTTCATAGCAATTAGTGGTGTTGGGTGAATACCTCTGGCACACAGTATTCTATATTCAATTTCTTTTTCTCCTATACTTAATTTGTTATAGTTGATTCAGAGGCTAACATATCTGAAAGTGTTTAGAATTTACTAATTCCACATACTGTATTTTTATGATGGATTCAAAGTAGGTATCATCATTGCTTTCATTCCAATTCCAGTATATAGATTCTGTTTTGACAGCGGCAACGTGTTGTCTTCTTACCCAACTATTCCTCATTTTCTTAAATATAATAAAGCAGGTTATTCTCTGGCTAACAAGATATATTGGTGCTTAAAAGAAAAAAAAAAAAAAAAAAAAAAAAAAAAATGATGAATAAACCATTATAAAAATTAATATTTATAGTAAATAAGTATATATAATTAACCAGCAGTATAATATGCAAGAACTCATGGCACTGACTGACATCTGTGTGCTCAACTCTAGGTAAAAAGCCAAGACTGTGAATACTGATTTTCCAGGCAGGCTGGCCCTCCCCACTTGGAAGATTGCATTATGCCAAGATTTCTAATCTTATGCTATACCAAGTCTAATATGTACTGATAAAAAGTCCAGTAAATTCAAGCTATCACTTCAAATCTATTTAGCAATGCTAACTGTTTGTAAAACATCACTAAAAAGAATTGGGGGGGGCACCAAAAAGACACTCAAAATTGCTATCAAACCATAAAATCCAGTGAAACCATACATCAAATGAAAGGAAATTAATTTATCTATAAGTTAATAAATGTTTCTATGTGCATTGTGTTTTTATAATTTTTTACCAGTGGGATAAAATCAAAAAAAAATCCTAAAGCCATTTTTAAAAAATTTTTTTTTTTTTTTTTTTTTTTTTTTTATTTTGGTTGAGTGTGATAAAGGATATTAGTATGTTTAGCTTTGATTCCAAAGCGCTCATTGGTGGGAATTTAGCCAAATTCAGCTTTGAAAAATAAAATGAAATTTTTTTTCTTCATGTAATTATCATAAATATCTGTCCACAAAGTTCTTTGGAAATCCATGATAAATGCACACCGACAAAGATTTACCGAAAATTATCCATTCGGTCTTGCCACTTAAAGCTGCTGCCTTGATGTAACATTTTTCATTGTGGGGAGGGAGATATCATGACTAGAAATTTAAGTTTGAACATTTAATTTGGGAATAAAAAAGCACTTTTATAATTGACTGGCCTAAAAAAAAAAATTAAGGAAATAACTTAAGTAAAACATGCACTATTGCACTAGAAAAAAAACTTTCCTATAAAAAAAATTTTTTTTTTTTTTTTTTAATTTAAAGTAGGAAAAATAATTTGTTTGTTTGAAAATCTTTCTAAAATATATTTAAATGTTATCAAAACTTGAATTAAAGAAAATCAGGTGCACAATAATAGTTACTTACTTTTAACTTAATTGAAAACATTTCCAGACTCGTTTCCGGTTAAAATTTTTGTGTGATAAATTTTATTAAACAAATCCGATGTCAGATTCATAGATTTCTCATAAAATCTTTTCCTTAGAGATTATCATTAATAATAATAATGATTCTGAATTTATCCTGTTGATATTAAAATCATCCAATAAGTTGCTTATTTGTTGATTTTTTAGCTATACTCAGTTTAAAAAAAACAAAAACAAAAACAAAAAACACACTGCTAGTCATAAAACACCGAAAACTTATATTAAAATTAATGTTATCATAATTTTTGTCATTAGAAGGAAGATTGAAGGAGTATCTGATATCATTATTTTTTTTTTTTTTTTTTTTACATTCAATAAAATTGGTGAAATTAGTGTTTGAAAAGTTGTTTACATTATGTAACAGAGTGGTCCATGTGTATTAATGCATGGAAGGGTTTTTTTGACAAAAAACAGTAAAACATACATTGATTTTAAAAATCAAATAATTAGCCGATTACAATGAAATTTTTGGTACTTCATTTGTAAATTAATTTATTTTTGAAAAAGATATTTTGTAAGAAAATTTTGTGATAATATTTTTATTACTATTATTAATTCTGAATTCAGTTGGTGTAAAAAAAAAAAAAAAAAAAAAAATCGTTCAATAAGTTACTTAAACAGAAATTTGTTCATTTAATGAGTTGAAATTTTTCATTAAAATTGGGTATCTATTGTTACAGACCCTCATCTAATTTTATTCTCAAATTAACACTAAAGTTTATATTTTAGAAGTACTCTGAATGAGGAGCCAGTACTTTCAGAAAGTTTGAAAATGAAAAAGAAATAAAGTGAAATTGACAATTAACGGTTCTTGATTAAACTTGCATGCATCCAAGCAAAGATTATGCATCCTATGAAAAGTACACTTCTTCTTGGTCACATGATAGTGTGAGGTTTTGACCAGTTACTATCCAGACATTAAGCAACCTTGAACTCTTTGAAATATGACAGAAAAAGGAAAAGGGTCAGTGACCTCTTTTTGCCCACATGTAAAAATCCATATTTGGAAGTCATGGGTCACGTGGTAAAATCAAGGTACAAAAATAAAGACCACCACCAAGTCAGTCCCTCTTCAGAATTCAAACTGAATGGACATCCAGCTAAACTTGCTATGATCTGCTATAAATTTGGATGTGTGGAATTGATAGAAATCTATTAAAGTTCCTGAACTGAAAAGATTCAATAAAGTGTTGATTGAAAGAAATCAAACTCCGGCATGCTAAAAGAAGCTGATACAATGAAACAAAGATACATTATCCTGAGCCAAGGAAAAGAACCATTCAACTTATTCTTCACTCAACCCCTGGACAAGACAAAAAAAGAAAGGAAACCAAAAAGAAATCCATTTCACATATAAACTTTCTACCCAGCATGGAAAAGAGAAAAGATAAAAAGAAATATAAAAGAAAAGAGAAACATAAAAAACACTAAAAGAAAAGGAAGAGAAAAAGAAAGACCTTTTCAAATAACCTAAGTCCTTTGTTGCTTTTGCCTGTTTTATTTTTGCTCATTTTACCTTTTTTGTCATTTGTAATTTCATTCAAGTTTGGTACAAGGTTGGTTGTCACTATAGTAATTATATCACTGAAAAGATGAGTCCCCACCATCACCACATTGTTTTGTCCAGTAATATTTATTTTTGCCCTGTCTTTCATTTTTTAATATACCCCAACATATTTAATCCTCATTTGTATGTTTTAGTAATAAAATGGTTATTTGTTATCCCTATGCCTTTGCTTTCTGTTGTTTGTCACCTACTGTGTTTGTCATTAACCGATTCCATGTTTGATCAACCAGGAAAGGACCATTGGTAAAAGAATTTATGATTTTATATTATATGTTACTGTACCTCCCACTGCTACCATAACTGTAAAAGAGGGTTGGTACGTAACAATATAAACGGCCTCTCAAAACTATATTGTTGCACAATAGATGTCTAATATATATATTTCAACAAATCTGGAACTCCCCAGTGCCTAACCCTGATGGATGCTATTTCATGCTCAAAGATGCTTCTTCCATCCAATTGGTTTACTTGAAATACAAGGCCTTATATTTCTAAATGTATATTGTTTTAAATATACTTATATATTTATGTCTATATAAACACTTTTGTGAAGAAATATGTGGGCTTATGTTCAACAGTTTAATCTAAGACTGTTCCCAACCTTGGTTCTTGGCTTCATATTTTCCCTTGCTTTTAAAATATTTTATGACAATACAATGTACTTTTTACTTATTAATGAAGCTTCTAAATGCCTTAGTAAATCTTTTTTTTTTTATTGTTCTCCACTTAAGTGGATGATAAACAATTCATTTTGAAAGATTAGTTGAGTGATTGCAAATTAAGCAAATTTAATTAGGGGGTCAGTTCATTAAAACTTGTATAAAGGTGCTCAAATGCTGAGCTTTTTTTTTTTAATGGTTTCATGACATTCACCAGGAAATTTTTACATATACATGACAAATTTCATTGTTTTATCTTGAATATTTTTTTTTTTTTACACAAAATTTTATCAATGAAAACAAAAATGTTGACCCAATATTTGAGGAAAATTTTTTTTTTTTAAGCTTCAAATGCTGATATTTCAAAAAGTTATGGATGGATTTTGATAATTTAAAATCCAAAAGTCTTCAACCAGTTTATATTTTATAAATATCTTTCTTTTATAGCAAAATCTAAAGTTTAATTTTTTTGTGAGCATTGCTACTTCATTCTCTACTTATTTTGATTGGCTATTACTATTATAACTAGTTTCATATATAATTGTATTTGTATGCATGCGTACACACACAATACTGGACTAATAAGTCTATAGCTGAATTATGATATGAAATTTTCATTGTATAATGTCCAATCTATGTGATTAATAGTCACTACTGAAGAATTAGGTGTACTGACAAAGAGATTATGTTGAAAAATATTTGTAATAAATATATTTTTTATAAGGCTACAGACTTCTTGATATATCTACATGAAAGAAAAAAATTACAGATGATAATATCAAAGCAAAGAAAGTGACTGGACATTATAATCTTTATTTTTCAATGATGCTATAAAAACAAGTCTCAGCTAGGAATAAATAGGACAGGCTCAACCCTATAGCCTTTGTTGGTAACCAGTTTAGGAGAAGGAAAACTGAATTCAAACCAGCCAGGAGAGTGCTGAACTCTGTCAAGCTATCTTACTCATACTTATTACTCAAGACACACAATACTACTGCTACAGTGTATGTGCTGCCCCTATGACCATAAAGTGTTATAGGACTTGTGATCATAATAAAAACATGTCAAAGGAAAGTTTCATCAACTTACTTCGGTCTGTCACATCTTTGCATATAGCAGGATGCTTTTTGTTCGTTTCTTTGTTCAGAACAATGGCAGATTTAGCAAATTCGTTTTTTAATGTTCGAATTCGTTTTGGGCTTCTCTTTTTTGGTGTAGATCCAGAGTCAGGTGTAGCCTCAAAGCGGGCTTTTTTATTTTTACATTTCTGAGGTGGCTTTGGTGGAGAAGGTGTCTTGCATGTGTTCTTTATCTAGAACAGAAACAAAAAGAATTTGGTTTGCAAAGTAATTATAATGGAAATAGAAGAAACAAATCCTAATAAATAGTTAAATGCAATGAAAGATTTAAAGTAATCCACATCAATAAAATAAGACATTTTTTCCTGTTACATATGAAATTATATATATAACAAATAATGATTTCAAATAGGTTTTGTTATCAAAATCACTTGCTCCTAAATACTTTGTTTAAATGCAATTAACAAAAAAAAATAAATAAATTAAAGTCAATAAACTTCATATTCATTTTTTTATAAATGTAATATCAGTCATAGAAATGAATTTAATAACCTAATGAATTGATATCAAATGTCCCAATTTTTATATTCTTTGTTTAACATCATCATAGTTGGTTGTTAATGAAAAGACTTCCCCAGAGTAATAATAAGCAGTTTCTTCTGTATATAAAACAATTATAAAATGTTTAATTATGCTGATTATATAGCGAGCTAATTAACAGTACCTCATATTATAAATAAATTATAATTTTTCCTAGAAAATTGAGGAAATGATTCATCATAGAAATATTTGCATAATTAATGTCTAAGATATTACACATAATAGAAATTAAGGTAATAGAAATATTAGCAGTTTCCTTATTAGGAAACATTTGGCATTCATTGACCAAGCAGCTAAGTAATATTACTATGAAGTCACAACACTTAAATCAACCTTAAAATCCATTTTAAAACTTCAAACTCACAACTAGACTATTAATTTGAGATTTTGAACTTCAGAACATTTCATACAAATGTCTGCCATTTCTTTACAAAACAAATCAGATTTCATCCTAACTTTGGAAGTAAATGGTCTACCATCATTCAGGAAATGAATCTTTATATTCCAATAAGTATTTATTTTATATATCAATAAAACATGAAGTGGCCAATAATGAGACCCAGTATTTTGAAGTGAATATCAAGAAATTAAGAAAGCTAGCTCCTGAAAATTAACTGCTTATGTAACCAGTTACATCAGGGGTAGAATTTATTAAACAAATACATCAGAACTTTCATTCTTTCTAATTTTTATATATAAAGGAGAATCTCAAGAAATGTGAATATCGTAAAAGAGTTCCATATTTTTTGTCGTCATTTCAAGCATTTTTTTTTATTTCTATTTTGATAATTTATTTGACAACTCAAAAAATAGAAAAAAAAAAAATTATCTCAAAATATTAGAATATGCCATTATAATTTTGGGTGAGTTATTATTTATACAGCATTAATACCATAAATTTCTCACTGAGGTTCAGTACCCACAAGCATAATCAAGAGGAAGACCGCTGACTTGACAGTTGTCCAGAAAACACTCACTGACACCCACCTTGTCAAGGGTAAGCTACAGAAGGGCTGGCAGAGTGCAGTATCAAAGCATATTCATAGAAAGTTGGCTGAAGGGGAAAAGTGTGGTAAGAAAAGATGCATACACAAGAGGGATAATTGCAGTCTTGGGTGGATTGTTAAGTAAAGCTGATTCAAAAACTTGGGTTAGCTTCAAAAAAGTTGACTGATGCTGGAATCAGTGCATCAAAAAGCCAACATGCACAGATGTTCTCATGAAATGGGCTACACATGTGTTCTTACTTGCATTTTCGTATTATAAATCTTTTTTGTTTTTTATAGAAACTTTATTATTTTATTATGGTTCTTTTAAAATATTCTAATATTTTGAGATAGCAGATTTTTGATTTTCAGGATTGATTTTTTTTTTTTTCCTTTAGTTTATTAACCCTTTGCAGGTTATTTAAAGCTGAAACATATTTTGGATTAGCAGAATAATTTTTTTTTCTTTTTGCAAGTGAATACTGCATTAACAATTTCTGGGAGATAAAGATCTTCCCAGATACATGTCCTACAATTTAATTTATAACTAAGGGAAGAAATGATGGGTACATTTTCAGCCTGATTTATATGTACTAAGTCCCAATAGGCACTCAAAGTACAGGAGCTCCCAGAGGGAACATCTGTTCATCACGATCGGTGATAGTTCTATCTGATTGATGATGATAGAATATCTGTCAAGGTTTGGTTTTGGAGGCAGTTAATGTGACTAGCCAGTCTTTACCTCACTGAACTATTAGAGCTAAGTCAGAGGAGAGATCAGCTGCCAAGCTCCAGTCAGATAGTTTTGGAGCTGCACCCATTTACTGTTGTATGATCAGAGTATATTCTTAAGCAGATCAATTATATAAAGTAGAAAGAGGGTTGGACAGAGAAATGAACCTTGGGTGATGTCTGCATTGACCACTAGGGCCTCAAGTTGGTCAAATGAGATAAGACCAATGAACGTTTATTGATCTGAGAGATTGACAGATATGATATGACAACATAGCAAATTCTAGATTGGAGGAGGAGAAAAGAAATCAAAGAAAAACATCAACTTATTAGAACCTGTTATATGTTGGCATAGTTGTGTCTTTTCTCATCACCGACTTAACTTTACTCAATAACAAATCAACTCTTTCTCATCGTAAGAAAAAATATGATGATTAAGCATCAAATTTTGAAATCATTTTTTTTTTTTTACCTATAATTTACTTTTATTTTGAAAATGAAGAAAAATAAAAAAATCTCATTGGTCAAGAATTAAGTTAACTGATGCTAACAGAATAATGCTATTATAAGTAATAATATCTATTCAAGGGTTTATCCAACATTATTGCTCTACATTTAAACTATACACGAGTAAATATAATGTATTTCTGGTTATATGCCCACTCAAATCCCATAGACTCCTTGGAGAATACGAGGTCACAGCACTCAGTATGTTAGTCAATGCTGCTGTGTTTCCATAGCAACTAGTAGGTTTTTACAAGATTGAATTGCTAGCCCCATGCCCAACCAATTCTCAATTCAGAGTTGTCCTGCTTCTAGACTCGTTATCAACTACGGCTAAAGAACCCAGCCTGCCCTACAATTTAATGCAGAGCTGGTGGGGAGAAGAGATGGCTTCAGATCTTTCAAGGGTATTTGAACATAAATAAACACTATGAATGTGACTGAAATTTGAACTCTACTCTCTGCTTTATCATTCCAATTTGCTATCCATTACACCACCCACACACTTTGATCATATAAATTCATTTTTCTTTTGGATAAAGCCTACTCCAAAATCTTTTTGTAGGTCACTCATCTAGGTACTAAACAGACTATGCTGATTACCTTTGGTGATCATGTGAGAACCTGTGTTTCAACTTGATATGACCATAAGCTCTCTTTATCAAGTAAAAAAAAAAAAAAAAAAAAAAAGAATGTAAATGTAGTTGTTTTCTATGAACTTACATGAGGAGTCTTCAAGGTATCAACAGTGTTTTTCTTCTGATCATCATCATCATCATTCTCATCTTCAATGTCAACTACACTACCATTGATTTTCATTAGCATCTCAGTGTCCTTCAGTGGGGCCTCTGGTTCAGACTCAGTTTTTATTTTTCTTCTTTTTGGAGTTTGCTCTAACTGGGTCTTTGTTTCCTTCACGTCATTCAACAATATTGTTCCTTCTGAATTTTTCTCTGTAAGTTGGTTATCAAAACTAACAGACAGTTTCCTTTTGTTTGGGGGTGTTCCACACTCTTTCAAAATACTTTTTTCTTTGTTCATGCCTGTAAAACTAAGTGACCTAAATTGTAAAGTCGTTTGCTTCGTCTTCACCACGCTCTTCTTGGAAATTTTGGAGTCTGCTGCATTCTTCTTTGGTAATTCTTTTTTTGTTTCATTTTTTAGCAAAGTCATTTTGACTATTTGGGGAATACTTGCAGTTCTTTTCTGCGGACTCTCTTTTTTATTGTCACTGTTTGAAGCTGATCTGCTTTCTACCAAATCTTTGCTTTTTGATTCTTTTTTTTCAGATGAGTCATTTTGTTTCTTCTCGTTTTCATCAACAATCTTACTGCTTTTAATAATATTTATGCTTTTGCTGTGAGAATCATCCACATTACTTTGGGCAGTAGGTGACAGCTTGCTTTGCTTAACATCTTTCTTTTTCTTGGTGCCAGTTTTGCTTTCCTGAATTTTGTTATTCACTTTTTTCAAAGAGGATTTCTTTGATTTCACCAAATTTTTACCTTTTCTTTCCATTTTGCTCACATTTTTCTTCTTGCCTATTTTCACCTGCAATGTCTTTTTATTGCTGTCTGTTTGTGACACGTCTTGATCTTTAGAGCTTCTTTCTTTGTTATCAATTTGTCCCTTATCAACATTGCAGTCCGATTTGGCACTCGGATCCTTCTTGTTCTTCTGTGAAGAATTTTGAAGTAATTTTGTTTTGTCAACAACCTTACTGGTGCCTGCCTTTGGAACATTTTCTTTAACTTCCTTCATTTGTGAATCTGTGATTTGAGACTTGTAATATGTCAAATTTTTGGAGTTTTTAGTTCCTGCATTCTTACAACCTTTGCTCTTCTTTTCCTCACAACCTGAAGTCAAGTTGGAATCATCACTTTTATTACACCTATTCTCACAAGACATCTTTATTTCTTCAGAATTCCTCAAATTTTGAATTTCATTCAAGTTCTGATCTTTTCTTAGAGATATTTTCACTTCACTGTTCTCAAGAATTCTATTTTTCCTTTTTTCCCAACCTCCATCTGTTTTCTTCTTTTTCTCCCCAAGATCACTCTTATCATGAAAATTCTTCAGTTTAGTTTTTTCTGAAGATTCTGGTTTGTTTGCTTCTTTTAGCCTTTGTGTTTCCTTTGAATCAGCAGAAACATCTTTGTTTTTCTGGTTTTTCTCAGCTGAGGTGTCTGAAGAACTTGTGTCAATAGCTTTCACTTGCAAATGAGCTTGAATTGTTTTCTTTTTGGACAAAGAAGAATCAAGATTAAGTTCTTTCATGATGGATCTGAAAAAGAAGAATACAAAATGTCAGAATTACAAGAAAACTATTTGTTTATTTTATTTTCATTCAGTAAGAATTCTACCCACAAGGACATTTTGGCACTGAAATTTTTTTTAGTAATAACATTTATCAGTTTTTCAGAAATCGGCAATTAACAAGAGACAAATACAAATTCACATATAATAGTATTTTTTATGTTTTGGCAAGTACAGTAAGATGGAAGAAATAATTGTTTAGATGTTATAAAAATAATACAAAAAATAGTGAAGTGATTAATTAAATCTATATTCAAATCAGTTATAATTACTTTAATATTTTGATTTAATTTTCATCATTTTTAGTAAAAACAAAGATAATGAGTATTTAAACTTGGTATTTACATGAATTACTATTAAATAGCATTAATCTGGATGATTCTTACTCTAGAAATTAAAATTGTCATTTCTCCATAGTGCAAAATAAATCATTAACATTCCAAGATTTGTTCAGAGAAATGGACTTCTTTGTGTTGTTACCATATCTGAATTCTTCAAGTGTTCATAAATCAAAAGAAAAATGGTCATTTTTTTTTTTTTTTGTGGAATACTACTTAAGTCGGCTGGTCCACTCCCACCAAAAAATAGGGGAAAATTTTCATGGGGAATAATTTTTGTAGATTAGCATTCTTTAAACCTTTCTTAAGCCTCAACACTTGTCAAAATCAAAAAATATTGATTTGTTTTCGATTTATAAATAGGGTTTTGATTATAATATTGATGCAGTGTAAAATTGATCCTTGACTTTATAGAATTATTGGCCTTTGCATAAGAAAAAATTTTTTTTTGGTAGAGGCGGTTACAAAAAGATTTTTTAAATAATAAACAGATATATTTATTTTTAATTAAAGAACAAAAACTCACACAAATGAATAAAATTATGTATGTTTATTCTTCATTGAAGACAAATAATTATTGTTAGGAGGTATTACTTGCTTCCTCCATAAAGGACAATAACTCAAAATACAATGGAGTTACGTCCCTTGACTGCCAGTGGGAATGCAGCACTTCTGAATTCAACATGGTGATAAGCTGACACGCATGTGGAACTCATGGTTTAAATCCAAACAGTCCTTGCTGTTCTCAGGAAGTAATGAATAAAAATTATGAAGAATGGAAAATTCGTCTTTGGGCACTAAGGAACATGTTATATGAATTATATTTTATCAAAGCAGGCAACAGATTTCACCTTCACTGAAACAGTGGAAAAACTGAAGTATTTGGAGAAAAACATTCTTTGTTTAATATTCAATTCAATTATTTAAAGCTAACAAAAGATGACACTGATAATCATGTGATATTTGCTGATCGCATCAATTGGGAATGCGAAAAATTAAAATTAAATTCACTTTTTGATTTTTATTGCAGGATTAAAATCTTCTACTCATGCTGATGTTCGCACCAGACTTCTTTGAAAACTGGAACAGGACAAAGACATACTAAAAGCCTTCACCACTGAATGCAATAATTTATTAAGCATAAAAAGTGAGACTATGCAAAACCAGATTCTAAACCAATTTTTAGACAAAAAAGGGCAGTACCCTATGCTGCTTTGAATATGGTTGAAAAAGAACTGAAGCATCTTCAGCAAGAAGGTGTAATTTACTCCGCATGGGCAGCTCCTATTGTAGTTGTTAAAAAGGCAAATGGAAACATCTGGATATTTGCTGATTACTAGACTGGTTTGAATGATTCTTTGGATGCACATCAGTTTCCACTTCCAGTGCTGGAGGATCTTTTCACAAAACTCAATGGCAGAATTTGCTTTGCAAAGGTTGAGCTTTCCGATGCTTTTCTTCAACTGGAAGTTGATGAGGAATCCAAAGAGCTCCTTACTACAGTAGTCCACCGCTATTAGGCGAACCAGTTTTCAGTGGTACCCAGTGTACTATGATTGGGTGATGGACCAAGATTTTGCTCTCATACCCTCAATATCGCTCACTTTTTTTTTTTTTTAAATTCCACTGCATTTTACCAATTTCTGGGCCATCTTCACGATAGAACAAACAGGGATCATCAGATGAGTCCTAATTTGTTCAAATAACTAGGCCTCTTTTTCACACATTTTAACTTGATTTTGATGATCAAACAGCCCAAATTTTGTGAAATTTTAACACCTCTGCTATTTCACACTTAATCCAATTGTATTGGTAATAATTACACATGATTGCTTTATATTTATATTTCGCGCGCAAGCAAAGAGTTCCTATAATATTGGACCAATTAACAAGAATTCAATAACTGCAATCAAATACCATGGATGGGGTATAAATAGGAGTACTTTTCTCTAGTTGACCGTGTTCAATTTGACTGTCCAATAGTAGATATCAAGAATCTCTTATAAATAAACAAATATAAATAGCGCATAGTAATTAAGGGTCGCAATTGGGAATTGCAAGAAGAAATACTTTTGAGGACAGTTAAAATTTATTATATAAAAAAATTTGCTATAAAACACTGAAATAATTTGAAATTTCGGGTAATTTGCTTTTTAAGCCCTGTGCTAAGTATCTAATAATAATTTCCCGAATACAAATGCAAATTTCCAAGCTTAATTTGAAAATAAAGTAATTTTGATAAAATTTACCTTTTTGGAGTTATTGACAATAAAAGTTTGAATCCATTCGGATCGCAGCCATTACTGGCGTTATTTGCATATATTTGCTGCAGAACAGACATTCACTTGTCTCGATTATTGTGCAAACGATGCCAATAATGGCTGCCGTGCCGGAGTTGACAACAACACAAATGAGTCTGAACTTTTACTGCTGATAACTCCAAAACAGTAGATTTTATAAAAATTTGTTATTTTCTAATTAGGCATGTAAATTTAGAATAAAAAAAAATAACTGTTCGGGAAACTTTTATTAGATACTTAGCGCAGGGCTTAAAAAGCAAATTACACAAAATTTCTTATAGAATCATTGGCATAAATTAGCATAATTTTTTTTAAAGTTCTTTTTGAGCCATTATCTAAGTATATATCGCAAAATAGAGCAAATAGGGCTTATAATTCTACCGTGATTGGCTCTTGGGTCATGTATTGGGTGAACTTTATATAAAAAGTAGCTTATATTTTTTTTCCTTTCCTTTGACAGTTGAATATCATCAGAAGTAAACTGAATAAAACTGATTAAAAGTTAAAAGTGAAAAATTAATTCATTACTTCTTTTGGTTTGCAAATCCCATCATCAGAAAACATCTTTATATTGTATAAAATTGATTACATAGTTTCAAGGGAAAAAAAATAATTCCATTTACTTGTTAGTTTTGCTGAGGACACCAAACTCTTGGCAGGTTTTGTTAACAATCAGATTTGCTTCCAGGCGTAAATTCTCAGCAGAATCCAGCCATTTCCCCTGGCTAAAAAGAACCAGAAACCTGGGAGGAGGTTCTTTCAGAACAAAACTATGGCTGAAACCATGTCTGGACCTGAAAAATAAAAAATAAAAAATACACACATAAGCGAGATAACTGAAAAAAATAAATTGTTCTTTATAAAAAGTTCAGCAGCAGCTGTACCCATGAAAATTTCATGGTCTTCCTCTTCAAATTTTCTGATAAAGCATTTTTAAAGCAAGGATTGAATAAGTCCTTTCCCAGCCAACTTTAATCTTCAAAAATTTAAATGCAATGTCAATCACTATCTACTGATCTCCTGATCCTGCTCCTTAGCAATGTTTGTTTCTAATTCTTCCACACCCAGTAACCCCTTGTGCCTCAGTGGCTTTACTACCCTGCATGGGGTGAACTCGATATATAAAAAAAAAAAAATATGAGATAAATTGTGGGCAAAGTTTGTTTGTGATGTGGTTTGTCCTTCAGGACTTCATTCAATGAAGGATGAAACATGTCAGTAACAAGGAAATTTTTTCCACTTTGCCATACAATTTTCCCAAATACTGTTCTTAATACATAAAGATATATATTGCTATCTCATATATAATATAGTAAAGGTAACAAATCTGTTGGTACATAATCCAAGTGGATCCTAGTAACATAAAATATTAAAACTGATCCGCAAAAAGAGCTCAATGTATTTATTGTTAAAGCAATATAATTTATAAACAATAAAATCCAAAATCACCTCATATGAGGAATAGCCTAGTCTGTCTCATCAATCCTGGTGTGGGCTGAGTTTGCATCAGAAATAGAAATTTAACTGTGAAATCTAAAAAGAAAAAAGGCAAAAAACTAATACAGAATTTATCCATTTCAATGTTTCAGTCAAACGAAAGGCACAAGACAGGGGTCAGAGGAAGGTGGAAAGGTATTTGTCTTAAAGGGAAGAAGTTTTATAAAATTAAGCCTAAATATTAATCTTATGACATTAATTTGAGGTTATATGAAGAATGAAATATTAATTTAAAATTAAAAGAGGAATAAAATGGGGTTTAAAAATAACTTTAAAAATATATAGATAAAAGGATGTGAGGGATTATTTTTTTTAAACTCCTTCCTTTTAAGACAAATACCTTCCACTTTCTCTTGACCACTGTCTTGTGCCTTTCGTCTGACTGAAACATTGAAATGGATAAATTCTGCATCAGATTTTTTTTGTGTGTGTGTGTGTGTGTGTTTTCTTTATAGCTTTCACAGTTAAATTTCTATTTCTGACACAAGCTCAGTCCACCCTAGGGTTAAGACAGATGACCGATATCTTCATCTGCCAAAATAGGCTATTCCCCATATGTGATGATTTTGGATTTTATTGTTTATTATATATCTTCAACACACCCCAAAATGAAAATTTTCAATACAAAGATTTAGAGATTTAGTGTACAGTTGCTACTATATGCACAGGGGACAGCTAAGCTATTACTATATGTTTCCCCAATCACTACAATCTTAACATGTTCAAGTCTAGAGTCAATCGTTATCTTCCCCCTCCTATCCATATAAACTACTTATCATAACCCTCTACCTCAAGTGGCACCCGGGCTTTGTACAGAGTAAACCTTACTGTAAAAAGTTTCTGGTAGTAAGTGCATCATCTGGCATGATCAAAAGTTAGAATAAGGTCAGTACACTCAAAACTTAAGTCACAATAACTTGTGACTGTGCAGGCACAACTATTAACAAACAATTTTGTCTACCCAATTTCACCCACAAAGCTTGGGTCAATCCATCGTGTGGTGTTCAGGCTCTTTCCAAAGGTGCTGCACACAGGGATCACCTCCACAAGCCAATAACATTAAGAGATTACTTTCATGGTAAATCAAACCAGGTTCTCCTGGTCAGAAAGCAAATGTTTTAACAACTCAACTCTCTCACACACATTTCTTATTACTATAAACATATTTAGTGGATACATGTATCCAAGAAGACATCCCAGTGTTTTAAACAATGGAATTGATGTCTACAGGCCTGGGCCTTTAAAGAGTCTTTAACAAAGTAATTGTGCCTCTTGAAACATCAATTACACTGCTTAAAAAAAAAAAAAAAAAAAAAAAAACGTACACAGTAATAAGAAATAATGTCAGATTATAAATAAAATCTGTGTGGAGTGAGACAATTCTTCTCTCCTGAATCTCGCATGTCTAAGTCTACCATTTGTCAATGCTTAGAATATTGCTGCCATATATGGTCCAGTACCCCTGCAATTTACTGGGAGCTCCTTGATAAGATTCAAAGAAGCATCTACAATATCATAGGTCCTGATCTAGCAGCTCAGCTTCAGTCACTTGCCCACCATCATAAAGTTGCCTCTATACACCTTTTTTAATAAATAAATATTTTCATCGTAACTATTCAGATTAGCGCTTTACTATGATACCTAGACTATGAATATAAGCACAATACTAGACTGACAGCAAAATTGTATAGATTTACCGTTGAGCTAGCAAGATGTAGCCATAACTTCTACGCTAACAGTTTCTTTAAAATGTTTACCAACACATGAATTTATTGACAAATACTACAGAAAATAACACAAGATTTTAACACATTCCAGAAGTTTAAATAAAGCAGGATAAAAAAAAAAAAAAAAAAAAAAAAATGTAATTTGAGACTGATTTCTATTCAAAATCTAATTTGTAAACTTCTGCCAACCAATCAGAGTACCAATGATTGACAAACAACCTTTCTTGAAGATTTTGTGAGACAAATTGACCAACATTGTCGTAGAATTGGACATAAAATTTCTAATTTCTCAAAATCCCAATCAGTGCTAGAAAAGGGCTAGATTACCAATCTGTTTTAAAAAGGACATCCTCATGAAATAAGTGTAACAGCATCTACAGGGGATCCTCGACTTACATTGGAAATCCATTCCTATGGCGTGACGTAACCTGATTTTCAACATAGGTCGGAATTCACTTACATAGGCAGTCACAACTCTGTCTTATGGTTGGGAGCAATAATGAAGGGCAAAAAGTTAAAAAAAAAAGTCACAAACAAGAGATAGTGAATGTACCACAATCCAATATGGCAGAGAGCCAGTAAAGAAACAATGCCGTCTTTTTCATGTCGCATCACATGACAATGTATTATATTATGGGAGATGATGCTGTAACCACAAAAAGTCATAAGTTGGGTCCAACAAAACCCAAGGACCTTCTGTATATGCATTTTTTTCAAATTAATGCAAAAGCCATTTACAACTCAAGAATTTCAAAAGGTTATCAAAGCAGCCAACAATAAACTGAGCAAAAAATATAATTAATCAGGCAAACGGGATAACATTAATGTCAAACCCTACAGTAGGGGTTTGAAATTAATGTTATCCTGTTTTCCTGGGGTTTGGGATGACTGGTAGGGTTCTTGGAGAGTGGAGGGACAATACCCAAAATACAACATTTTTAGTTAAAAAAAAAAAAAACAAAAAAAAAACTATCATATTTATTTTAAAATAAGTAATTTCTTAAAATAAAAAAAATTCTCACTTTTTAGTAACAGGTTTTTAAATAAATAGAACTTAAAAGGTTTAATCAGCAAGAATTTAAATGAATTGCTATCTACTGCCCTTCGCTCTGACACTGTTTTCCCAGAAAGTAAAGGGGATACCGCATCACTTCAGATTGTAATGCAAGCGTGGCTTTCCAACTGACCTGCTTATTATTACATATATTATTATTATTATTCTAAACTGGTGAAGGAAAGTTGAATGAAAAATAAATTGAACAAAATTATTTTTTTAAAATCTATTTTTGATAAAAAAAAAAAAAAAAAAAAAAATTGAATGTACCATTAACAAACATTTGTTAAAAACTATGTTTGAATGAATTAAGCACAAATCTAGGATAAAAGTTACTCTAAGCATGAAAACTAATTAATTGCATACAATTAAGGTGATTTAACCAAAATGTTTAAATAAAAAGAAAATTAAGATTTTCATAAAAATTACAGTAAAATTTAACTAATTTGTTTTTGTATTCATTCATTCATAAAATTTTAATATTTTACCTTTTAATTTATTTCCTAAACATTTTAATGGTGTTTTTATTATTTTTGATCATATATAAAATTTACATCTAGTTTCTCCAAAGCTAGTGTTGAATTTTTAGAAACTAGAGTAAAGTTCTCAAGGAATTGTCTAATAACAGAATTATTTTGCAAGCCTAAATCATCACATATTTAGCTACACTGCCATTCTGACTGTCCTTATCACAAGATAAAAATCAAACCTGAAGTGCCAGTTTTTATGCACAAGGCAAATTTGCATGGAGATAAAAGATTATTGGAAGCATGCTAATACTTTCATTCGGCATTATGTTAAGTGTGGCTATCAAGAGTTGCGACTGAAACAAATTGCCAATGAAATAACTAAAAATGAAGATTACAATAATTTTATACCAGATCAAAACACTGGAAAACAATAAAAATCAATTAGTCATCAATTGGCACTGAAGTTTTGCTGGAATTTCAAAAAATACTACACACCAGCTATGAAAACATTGCACAAAAATATCTGCATTTTAAAGAGATTTTTCTAAACCTGCCTATAGTTTCCTTCAAGTGGAAAAAAAAAAAAAAAATCAGACAAAATTCAACATGTAGGCATCCACATTCAAGACAACATTGAGGTTTTGGATTGTTGTACTCCCAAAAACACTCATAGAAGAGGAAAACACTATGCATTGTGCAACAACATGAGTCAAGTTAACTATCAGAAATTCAAAGAGAAAGATAACGATTTCTATAGATGGTAGCAATTGCACAGATTTTCATTTTATATATGCCACCCAATGTACCAAACAAGACTTGATTTATGTGGGTTGCATAATGGAAAAATTAAATAAAAGATTCAATGGACACAGGTATGATGTCAGACACAACAATGTGACATCAATGAATCTAGCAGAACATTTTATGATAAAAGACTGTAATTTTGACAAGCATCTTAAAGTGCACATTATGAAACAATATTCAGAATCTACTGACCTTTTTACCCTTAAAATGCATGAGGATGGTTACGTAAGTAAATTACTAAC